CATCGGAATTCAGCCAATCAAGATAAAGCTGCTTTGTCTTGATTGGTTGAATTCCGATGCGCAATTCGCAATCTCAATCCAATCCGCGTCCACAGTCCATAGTGTGACACGAGCTTAATATATAAATTCACACGGAATTATTAGCACCTGAGATCCAGCTCGACCGCGTTAAAGGCAATTTCTTATTGACTTTTTTATTTTTTTAATAAAATGTTAGAAATATATTAAAATATTATAAAACGCATCCCCCTATATTATATCTATTTATTTTTACCTAATACTGAATACGCAAGAAAATAAAGCGAAATGAAAAAAACCTTCATTTTTTTGAATCCTTTTAATATCCGCTGCCATAAATGTCCTGAAATTTCACGGATATCCCGGCGTAAACGGTAACTGCCAGAATGTATGAAGTGATAATCTCGGCGCCAGCGTTTCCGTTATAAGAAGCATTCCCAGTCCGGCGAAGATTGGCGCGGCTGATACCATCGCGTGGCGTAGAGACGTATGCCGCATTCACCGCGCGCCACCGCGAATAAACGAGTGTACACGCCGCGCTACATCAAAGGGTTAGATCGTGGCGCATCGCACCGCATCGCGGCGACCCAATTTCGGTCGCCGCGTGCGCGAACGTTAAAGTAACGTACGACGATGCATTTTGAGTACGCCCCGCGCGATACGGTGGTTGTTCGTATCCCCCGAAGACCGGCTTCCCTGTGGTGAGCGTGTAATCATCGGATGTCGCGCGTTACACCGCTTCTGTGGTGATCCATCGTGCTAGACGAGCTATCAGACTTTACATTTGTCATAGCTGAAAATTAGAATTGATTCCTTTCGAACATTCTCTCTATGCACAATAAGTACTGCAACGCTCGGCGTTTACGACCTGCTGTATTATAGCATGTTTTTATTTCGCTGTTTACGTATAATCGTATATTACGTTATCACATACCTAATTAGATTAGTATTACCATCATTATTATTACGTGTTATTATTACCTGTTACAATAATTATATTATTACAATATTGTTACATTATAATATTAATTATTACGTGTAATGCCTCTGATTAATCGTATTTTTTTTTAAACATTTAATATTGAAACAGACTTACTTCAAATGTACAAATTACAAGAGTTAATTACATTCGCACGCACGCAAACGTTACTACATGTCTCGTGTGTAGAACTCATCGTTTCGTATTTTATTTCGGTCTCATAGCGCCGTACTAAGAAATCCATTTAGTTGAATCAATTAATTTCTTGTTTGAATAAACAGATCTCTGGGTTGACGCAATAAATAATTTAGTTAAAGCGAAACATTTGGTTATTGTGACATTTTACTTGATTCTGATAAACAAGTTTATTAGATGTCAATGTTTATCAAATTAGCAAATGTTATTTATCATTTACCAAATGTTTCGCTTTGACTAGATTGTGTATTGCATCAACCAAGGATTTATTTGCCCTTATCCAAACAAGAAATTAATTGATTCAAGTAAATGGATTTCTCAGTGCATTTAGAGGATTACCGTGATCGCTAAAACAACGAAAAGAAAAGGGTTAATAGCACCGTCTTTTACAAAGTCGCGGACTTCCAAGCAAGATCAATAAAAACAGCGGTTTGGCAATTTCAGAGATGGAAACAGCTCTGTTAGGATACACGAGTGTGGTTTAGTACGTTGGCTCTTAATTACGTCGTGAGCTTAGAAGTGTGTGGTGTTATACAGCGCGTCTCTCTCTCTCTCTCTCTCTCTCTCTCTCTCTCTCTCTCTCTTTCCCTATCTTATTTTAGACCAGGCATTAGAGCAGCAATTTTGCATCAATTAAGGACAGTCATTAAAATCTGCATGTACAGTCATAAACTGCAAGCGGATCGAAAGATGCGAGCCACGCAATGGAGTGTCTGGAATTTCATTTGGACGCTATTCCAGGCTTGCTAGTCCAGATGAATAGCCACGTTAATGGCATTAATCATTCCGTCGTCGACGCAGCGCATGTTCCGTTACGGTTGATTATCTTATCGTTCCCTAAACACGATTGGATTCTAATACCGAGTAAGATCAGCAGGCCGGCATTCAGCGAATTGGAAACGGACGGCAAACCAGTCAATCGAATCTGCGGTTTCGGCAAGCCGATACGTTACCGTCGCTTTTAGCTTTTTGGTCAAGCGAATCGACAATTTTCGAGTCGTTCGTCATAGGATTGACCAATCCCGCAATTAGAAAACAGAATCGGTGGTTTAAAAAAAAAAAAACATCTAAAAAAGGTAGTTCATTGTAATAACCGTTTCGAGCGTAATCTGATTATTCGGATTGGTAAGATTTATCTGCAGTGCGGCGATTATTCGGGAAGGTCACGAACGAATATCCGTGATACGCGCCAAATAGTTTTTCGCAACTTTTTTTCCGGGGGGATAAAAACCGATATCGAACGCACTCGGTATCGAACTACTACATTCAGTACGAAATTGGATGCGATTGTATTTTACTCATTAAGTATATTTCGATGGCGGTTGGAGTAGAAGGGGTTCAATTATCGATGTTTTGAGAACGAGCTACTCTTAAACGCCAGGAGCTGAATAACATCAATTTATAACTGCGCAGCCCTCACAATTTCGGGAGAAATTTAAATCGAATCAAGTCGACTGATAAAAGGATTCGGGGATTTAATATCGGCGACACGCGCCAGGGAATGGAAATGGAAATTCGACAGAATTTCGCGCGTTACCGGCGATCGTGGCGCACGCGTGCGTCTCGTCACGTGCAACGTCCAGCCGTGGCTACTGAGGTGGCCACAATCCACAATGACGATGGACCAGAATTGCACGGATCGGGCGTAACGCGTACGTGCTCGCGCGCCGCTCTTAGGAATAAAACCGTCCGGGACGATAAATCGATCTCTTCCGCTAACCGAGGCGACTTTCCGAACGAACAGCCACGCGTCACGTCGCGCAACCACATTGCATCGTCTATCGACGTGCAGCATGGGTAATAAAAAGCGATGGCGCGTTATGCCTTTGCGATTGCACAGCGCGCAAGGGCATCTCGCGTAGTGTGTTGACCCTTCCTTCCCTGTAGTAGCAAAATGCCATTGCTACAGCTCGACGGTTGCCACAGCGAAACGTGACTTTCCGTAGAGAAATAGCGTAAAAATGGCGAGGAGGGCAGTGCGCCGGATAATCGTATCTATTTAAAAAACATAAAACGATTCTCTTGTAAAGCCCATGACACATAAGACGGTTGCTTTCCATTTACACACAAGTGAAACTGAGTCTGAAGTGAGCTGAGTATGAAATACTCAGATTAATCACGTCACTACTTGCTTACTTTGATAAAATTAACAAATAACAACACAGGTTTATTAACCTCACTTTTAAAGTGAGTCTACGAGACTCAATAAAAAGCAGCACAGGTCTCGATCTTGTGCAGTTTGTACGTAAAAATTCAGTTGAATCTCACTTCTCAGAATGTAAAAGGAACGCGCATTCAACTGAGTTATGACGTCACAAGTGAGAATTATCTGAGAATCGAAGTAAATGGAAAGCAACTATAGAAAAACGTAAAGCCGTAATCACACTAGCGATTGCGCGATTGTGATTGACGATTGAGGATTATTTCTCAACCAATCGGAACAAAGCAATCGGTGACTGCTTGGCTCTGATTGGTTGAGAAATAATCCTCAATCGTTAATCACAATCGCGCAATCGCTAGTGTCATTACGGCTTAAGGCCGTAAACGTAATCAGTAATCGAATTGACCAATCACAGTTGAGAACATAAGCGGCCGCCGTTACGTTCTCAACTGTGATTGGTCAATTCGCTTACTGATTAGTTGATTACGTTTACGACCTTACGTTTTTCTATGTGCCATGGGCTTAAAAGAGCGATACTGCGAAATAAAGAAAATGAGAAGATAAAACAAGGACCGAGAATAATCGAAGCTGTTGAAACGTTCTATTGTTTAAATTCACGACGTATTCAGTTTTGTCGTCAGATTAAATTATTTTACCGTTTAATGTTTAATTTAACTGGGGCGATTTGCAACCGCGAATGTCTAGCGGTTTTCTAAAGGAACAATACATGTTTTACATATAGTAGCATATATATTCTAATATGCGGTTACTGCTGGGTAAAACGACGGTTCTTCGGTGCGGAAACTTATCGAATGAAACTTTCATTTTAGAAACTTTTTTTTCAAGTGCCGTGATATCGAACAGTCTTTCCGTCTGCATGGTCAATAAATTTTCAATGCTTCCAAATGTACTGAAAAACACCGTGTATAGTTTCGTCGTTCGTATTGTCTGAGAATCGAGGTCGAGATTCGTCGACGAGTCGCGAGTATAGAAAGTGATGATCGTTCGATATCCTTCGACAGGCGCACTGATACGATTATTTTTGAAGTAGAGGAAGTCGAAGGGAAAATGTAGCGAAAAATACACAGAATTGTCAAAAATTCTTCATCCTAAAATTCTATAATTTTTCCCTGATTTTTTCAGAGAAAATTTCATAATTTTCCTCTGACGCTTTCAATATTTTTGAAATATTTTGTATGTTTATCCCGATTTAAAAACCAGTAAATATTTTATTGAGAGAACAATTTAATATAGCATTGTTATATTATTAATGTTATTGATACGCTTTCATTTAATTGTTAAGTTGATAATATTCCAAAACTACGTAAATGACGTATGCATATTAAATATCTTTAAAGTCAAGAATTTTAATTTTCCGGAGAATATTCTGCAAAATTTCCTGACTGTTTCCCGATTTCCCTGACCGTTTTTAATTTTCTTGACATTTCTCTAATTTTCAATTTTGTGACAACTTTGTTATATTATGAAAGAGCTTAACGGTGAAAGGGTAACAATTCACAGAGTATTAAACTTGGCAAATAATGCAAAAGTGAACTTGTTTCTCCCAACATATATTAAATTATAAATATCATAAGTACGTTGTGTTTCTCGTCATCAATATTTCAAAGTTATTTTTTTTTATTACAGGCTCGACCAGCCGGTGACCAGCTCTACGCCCGGAATGGACAAGAAAAAGGTAAGTTTGCCTGATATTTATCAGTAATCGTGCGATAAATTTTAGATAGATCAAAATTCTGTTTCTTCTCGAGACAAACAAGCATCACGTGTACAAATAGAATTGATTTTTCACGAAGAAACGATAGTATAATTACGACAAGCCACGTCATAGGGAATTGGCATGGCACATGGCTATCTATAAATAATAGTCGTTCCCTCGCGATCGATTATTACCTACTGTTCGAAACCGCAATGTTTAATGTTTGCATTCCGGCCACGAGCTCTAGCGCGAGCGAGAATGGCAGAGATTTAGCGCGAGAATCATCCGTGCTCTGCCAATTAGAGGCATTTCGCTTGAATTAGTGTCGTGTGACTCGACGATTACTTCGTTGGAGATAATGGCAAGCGATACGAATCGGCCGTGATTTAATTCGACGCCACCGTGAAAAGAGGAGAGAGAGAGAGCAGGAAGGGAGAGCGAAAGTTTACCGTGAGAGTTCGGCCGCTTTTCCCGTCCCGCGGAAACGAAGTTTTCCTCGGGATCGGCGAATCGCCGGGCGAGTTTCGGTCCTTTTTTTGGATCGAGCGAAACCCTCGTATACTTGCTTCCGTCGTCGAGGAACTGCGCGCGAGCAGCTCTTGTAATTTAACGGATTACCCAGGCGACTCCTCTTCCGTGTCCGGCTTTTTCGTGGCGCGACGAGAGCTCGTATATATAGGAGAAATTTCTCTCGGACGAGACGGACGAGCGCGCACCGAAGACGAAAGACGGGAGAACGAGCGCTAATGTTCTCCGCGGCAACTCCTGCGTAACGTTGAGG